ACATTTTCTATTCGTCCTCTTAATTTCGTAATCAACAGTAATGCTGCGAGAAGTCAGTGTGTAGGACTCACATGGCAGTAGCTGCATACACGTGACCATGTGAGAGCATTTGGAGAGAAAGAGTGGACTCTCCCCACCCTTGTGACTTGCGACGCTAAATACCAGGTGGCAAATTTACCAGTCGGAATTCTGATGATAATTTCTAGCTTTCTTTCGAAATTGACCAATCATACGTCTGGCCTTCACACTTAATCTTGAGCAGACTCAAGCTAGGCTCCTATTAATAAGTTATCCTCAAGCTTTCTTCTATCTTTTGCCTTGAGATCAATGAGGATTCAATAGCTCACTTTTATTATATTATATTTCAAGAACACAGGTTTATATACAATTAAACTGGACCGCATCACACTATAAATCGAAAAATCACAATTGTACATAAAATAAGCTAAAATTGACTATGAATAGGGTTAAGTGAAAGCTCGTCATGAACAGAACATAGGTACATAGTAATCCAATTATTAGGTTATAGAGGATTTTTTGAATTAATTCCTACGCCTCGTATATCAATCATCCTGGTAACCGTCATTAGATAACTTCTGACGCTATAAGTTTCAAAAAACAGTTTATTACTGTACTGCTCAGATCCCGAAGCTATCAAACACATAAAGCGGATACGAACAAAAATGTGATTGCGAATGACTGGGAATAGACAAACAGATGGGATTTAAGAAGCACATGCAACAAGCAAGCAAATGAGTCATCGAGCGTTTTCAGAAACTAACGTTTAAACTAGAAAGTGGAGTATTTGTGTAGGTTGAAATACGTGATCTTGTATACACGGTCATAGGTGTATGGGGCTAATAGAGTGAAGACATAAGTAAATTGTCATATACACAAATAATTTTGTCTATTGAATAAGTTACCTAAAGGTTTTAATAAATCTAAACGCGTACAAACTCAATTATAGGTGAGAGTGCTATGAAACTATGTATAATAATGATAATCAATAAATATGTTATAGAAGGTACCATTTCTTCAATCTTCGTCCTGACACATGAACGCAGCTGGCATTTTCATGATGAATCTTAAATCTGTTTACCTTCATAATTATAATTTTGTTAGTGAATCTCTCTTTAGATAAGCAGTTTGTTCCATAAAAATAACAAACCTAGGGGATCTAGTTATTCATAGAAGTGTTTCAAACACATACGCTATGTTGAACACTAAAATGACAAAATAAATGACATTAATATCAATCGCTTAAAATAAATGATCGAAGAAAACATAAACGCTTCAAGAATCTCAGGGATATTTCATAGCATACTTTTGTTTTATCCTTATTCATCCTACTCAAACAGCACAAACTCGCACTACAAATGAAATAATGTTCATGTTAGATATATCACATGGCAGTTATAGGTGTTACCATTTGTTGTCATATCATAAAATCATGTTATTGATGAAAAATAATGAAAAATCAAAGTCAGACTATGAAACATAATTTAGTAGGTCTTGGTGTTCATAAGCGGGATGAAAGTTCAGAATCAGTCGAAGCTTTGTATGAAACAGAAGTCACCAGTAGTTAACATCTGCAACTTTCGCTTAACTGATGTTATCTATCAGCTAACAATTCATTATATTCAGGTCCACATTCAAAGGTCTTCTGATATTGCTTTACAATCGGAACTGCTCTTCTGTGAGACTGAAATATATTTTAGTCATATGAAACATACTTCATCACAACATAGTGTAACTTTTCGTGTTGGAAAAAATCAGACCTTGTTCAACAGACTTCGATCAACTTTAAAGGTTAAATGGCATGATGTAGGCTACAATTTTCTGACTGCTTATCAAAAATCCTATGTGCAAATCGAAATCATGAAATTTTTTAGAAAACACAGAAAATTGAAGATATCGGGACTTTCCTTTTATAAGCTAACCTTAACAACTGCTGTCAAACTTGTTGCTGCACAATATTTTGTGTATGAGTTTCCCGTTTCAAAGCTTCCAGACATTTTGTATAAATACTGTAAAAGTGCTTAACAGTCGAGATTCTAAAAATCTCATGAGTGTAAATCGCTAAATGATTGTAGCTTATCCACTATTGGTAACCGGGAAGTATTGAACGAATGGTTCATCCTCAGTACTGCACATCCATGATACCGCTTTATTGTGCAGCTCCCGCATTTGTATTTTGAAGCCATGATCAGTTGAATTCAACCATTTAGGCTGTGAGACAGGCATTCAGCTCAGATCATTTAAATTGGCTACGTAATATGGCTAATTGAATTAAATTTGACATGTACATTTTCGGAAACTGACTCAGTGGTTTCGAGATGGAACGCGAGACCGAAGAGCCTAGGTTTGATCTCCTGTGGTAGTTCATGGATGCACACTGTTGGAGAGTCCTATAGCTGTCTAGCGCTCCTTAATTTCCACTGATTATCAACCTAAGATCATTTATAGGTTCCAAATTATGAGTATAATTTTAGAGTTAGATGGTGGTTAGAAATAGAATCCAGAACACATGTTTCATCTTAGTTTAAACTCATCAGCTGGATATGTCTGCTAAAGAAGACTGATTAGTTTTAGTCCTAAACATAAATCAAAACATTTAGACAATTAATTCATATGAGAATAATTGTTCATTTACTTATGTAAATGACTTTTTTTCTTATTCAATTCTAACCAGTTCAGATGCTTTGTAAATTTTTGCTACTTGGAACCATATATATATGTGTCATTGACTTTGACAAAGATTTGACCTGAATATAAATAACAATTTAATAACCTATCCTATCCATCAGTTTGTAATATAATAAATGTGTCATTTATGTGAATATGTTTAACTGATATATACCATAGCCTTTTAAAAGCATTGCCTTAGGCTTTATTAATTGATTATAATCAAATAACAGTCATATAATAATCATACGGTAGTCATACTAGAGAGATATAGTAATCACTATATAATAATATATTAATTTCATACGAATTTCACAATAATGAAAAAAAGATCCATTCATTCACAAGATTTGTAGGTCATTAATTTCATCACTTTGGTAATTTCTTACAATTTCTTTTTTCCTATGTAAATTACAATGTAAACATTTGAGTTATACTAACCTTTGAGTTGTATACTGCGTACTTACTTACGTTTGTTACCCTCCCATCAGCATTCTCTTCACTAAGTGTATTAATTATTGCTCAGGTTGTTAGAAAAGGGAAAGGATCTAGTGGCATCCGAAATATCTCGACTTTCACCATGAGGCGTCATAATTCTACTAATAGGAGATACTTCGATTCGGGGGTTTAAATTATTCACTCTGATTTGTGTCTTTTTAGCAATGTTGTTTTCTATGGGATACGGTTGCTGACCCATTGCTCAATTCCCCTCTTTTTTTACCCGGGCTCAGGGCTGGCAGTAACCCTAGAAAAGCTACAGGTGAAGTTGTGTACTGAGTAGCCTTTACAATAATAATGTTTCACTTTTGTTTATTGCACTAAGGTGTGTAATTTCGACCACTACTAATATACCGTACTTTTCTTATCATGAGTATTCACAGTAAATATAAACTCAGACTAGAATCTGTTCAACGTCATTTTAAACATTGTATTTTTGAGAGTAATTGTAACTAGGACTATAAATCCAAATGGTCTTAGTTAAGTAATAATCCTCTATGTAAATGATCTTTTTCTTCAAGATACCAAACAAATAATATCTTACATTCAATAATGTAATCCAATTTTCTTAATTAACCGAGTTGTAGTATTTCCACATGTGGAGATTTCATACTGAAATTCCACTTGTAACTTTTCAAGAATCTTAAACAGTTTGTGGCAGTCTTAGAGAAACGGGTTTGTTAGCATCATTTTTGAGATAAATCGGAAAGTTCCTATCTGATGATGATGCTTCAAAATGCATACACAAATGATTGTACCTTAATACACTAGTGAAGAAATTACGTAGTAATCATTATTATGTTATGAATCCCTTACATAGTTAATCTTAAACAACACCGTATTTCCTTATCCAAAGGATGTATATGGATTGATTAGTTGGCATAAAATATATCCAAGTCAGTAGGCTGCAAAATTATCAAGCGGATATATGACGGTATCACATAATTGTATCATATACTATCCTTATGATTTTCTCCCAGTTTCGATCCTTAATATCTTAATTCTTTTATCAAGTCTTTGATGTCAGTTGTCAGTTTTTGAAACCGTTACTTAGGGAGAAGAGGTTAAAAACATTTGATTCACACATCAGTTATATCCATAGGAAAATTCATTTTTAGAGCTCCTTTGATAGTTTGAAGGGGTATCCTGGGCTCCAGGTAATCTACAAACTACTCCTATTAGACAAAAGCCTTCTTTGTCCTCCGTATTGTAACATTAACATCAGAATTTTAAAAAAATTTGGATCCAACGAACAATGTCTCATGTAAAACATGCTGAAGTAGAATAAATAACTTATATTATCAGCAATGTCAGGTACTTATTACGAAATTGGAATCTCTCTAAGTGAAGCACCAGTTGTTAAAACTCAATCGTCCGGAGTTCAGTTTCATTCCTTATAACTTTGTCGTAACTTCTCTAACCAATACTGGTTAATGTTGGTTTGTATCATGATAGAATCATTAGTCCCATCAAAGATTTCAGATACGCCTTGAGGATGAGAATTTATTTTTCCAAATAAACCCTCTTCATTCTGTCATAATTGAACAGATGTTCAAACAATCAAACAAATGAAAACGTTTGTTTACAGAATATTTATTTCTACATTAACTAGTCGTGAAAGAAGAAAATATATATCGTTCATGCGAAATAAACATTTAAAAAGAAATTCTGTATTTCTATTAGGAATTTGAACTATATACAATGAAGACATGGCACCCTAAATTATGAAATGAAGGCGGATCGTATAAAACATGGAAATATCAAAGAATTGATCTATAATTGACAGATTTTAGTATTATAGAATTTAAACTACATGCTTAAACTATTTGTGATAGAGACTCCATAAATTCATCAGTTGACATTTGATATGGTAACTTCAAGGAACTTGTTAAAATGTTTTCTTGGCCGGTTGCTTTGTACAAATCTTCCTTTTGTTCATTTTCATATTCATTACTATCCTCATCGTTATTATTAATATTAAGAAACTGAAGTTTATTATCTGCTTTAAAGTTTACATTTTCGAAAATATTCCCGCATAAAATATTATCAAGTTGTGCCCGAAACAGTGAAGTTAAATCTAAGGGTACTGGAAAAATAATTGTCGATTGTTTTCCTGATGAAATACTGTTGACTGTTTGAAGATAACGCAATTGCATTGCAATCGGATGTTGTTTAATTTCGACAGCAGCTGCTTTTAAAGCACCAGAAGCACGCATTTCACCTTCAGCCGCTATAACTTTAGCAGTGGCTTCTCTGACAGACTCTGCTTCTGCTGCCATCGCTCTCTGAAGTTGTATAGGTAAACGAACATCTTTAATTTCTACTCTTTCAACTTTTACACCCCATGCTTCTGTTACAGAATCCAAGCATTCCTAGAAAAAGATAGCAACGAAGAAATTCGAAGAGCGTTTTAGTTAACAGTTTTTAAATGAAAGTTTTACGAGTATTATATCGTAGAATGAGATTTTATAAGTTCCACTTCGATATAGTAACAGTGTGACTATCAAACAAAAGATAATTCTCCTGAATAACGTTGGAATATTTTTCTTGAACTAAGGGAACTATTAGATAAATCAAAATATTCATGGAAATGATATATTTTAAACTATTTAAAACACAACACATAAAAACACAGCACAGTTCATTCCTTGAAATAGTTGAATTCAGCAGTCAATTAAAGCTGGACCATAATGGAAAACTTGAAAGAACTGGACGACCGTTTCGTAATAGTATGGGACTCCTCATTAGTGTGCATCCACGATGCCGCTTGCAGCATCTAGTGCCTCCAGGTTTTCCGTGGTGGTCTAGCTTCAATCGACTCATGAATTCAACTATAAATTTACTAAAATATCCACAAAAACCTCTTCTGATAATTATTCAGAATCTTAATTATATTGTTAAAAAACGCTACTCTTAGTAAATAATTATAGTAAAGTTGATTAGTTTAGTTTCTGATTTTATAAAAGGTACAAAACATGGATTTGAACAATTAACGCTTATTTGTGTGTGTTATCGCTCATGTTTTGCAAGCAGATCTCGTAAGCCAATAAAACTCTACGACTGATTTTAAGTTGTGAATTTTTAAATTCATTTGAACGTGTTATCCGGAACTATTCGAAAATATAAAATTTACTCAAAAGATACTAAATTGATCGGAAACACTTTGGTGTATAAGTAAAGATGGATAGTGGCTAGCAGAGGAATCCAGGACGCGCGTTTCGTCCTATTTTGGACTCGTCAGATGGATATACCTGCACCTCAGAGTTGAGTAGCTGAGTGGATAACGTGATGGCGTTTGAAGCAAACGGTACTGGGTTTGAGTCCCAGAGGGAACATCAACTTTGAGATGTAGGACGTCCCATATATACATTTTAAAGCAAACCATATCCTTTTTGTTTATTATTTACTGTTTGAAAATCTTTGTTTTTCGCAAAAGATTTATTTCAGTCAACAAGATAAAGAAATATAAATGTGACCTTGTGAATTAACAGTGAAGTACAATCAGTGTAGAATGGAGACAGTTATTCAACTCAGACAATAGATGAAGAGTTTCTCAAAATCATGGATCGATCGAAGTTAGAAATTACCACTGTTGTATGCCGGCTCAGTGGTCTAGAGATTAAGAGTTGGCTCACGAGACCGAATGTTCTTGATTTCAATCCCACGTGCAAGATCGTGGATGTACACTGTTGAGGAGTCCCATATTAGGACGAAACGGGCGTCCAATACTTTCAGGCTTTCAATGATGGTCCATATTCTGATCAACTTATGAATTCAAGTACTAAAATATACATAAAAGTCACTAACATCTATTACATTTTAATTGTACCATTCATTGTAATTAAGAGTGGTTGATTAGAAAAGAATGGAAAACTTTAAAAATTGAGCTCACTAAAGTTGGTTCTTTTTTCGATCATCAAAGAGAATACAAGAAGTAAATCATGCTGATTAAATAAATCTCTATGAAATTTAATTTAATTTATTAGTCCAAATTCGATTGCATAAACGATACTAAGAAGGTTAATATTTGTATTCATTTGTATTATTTTCAAAGACAATATTAATACATTAGATTCTTTGTTATTCTCTGTACCATATTCAACTCTGTGTCAGAAAGTGGATCGTTTTTGTTTGGTTTTTGTTCTTCTTGAATATTCAAGAAAGCTAATGACATGTTGAATAAATGAATGAATTGTAAACTTCAAAGGAACAATTTATCTATTACACTACATGATGTATTTCATTATTGAATGAATTCTATCTATTTTCTACATTATTACCTTTTCTACTTTCTTTAAAATTTATATGGTTTCTTCAATAGTAGTTAGTCTACATTCCAATATATAAATATATACAAGCAAGAATTCAATATTCTTATTCATTTATAAAGTTATAAAATTTCTGTCATCTCACGCAACATTTGACTAATGAAAAAAGAAAACTCTTTTTCTTAACAGATAAAATTTTGGCTTTAAAGCATAGAGAATACAAAAAAACCCACAGTCTGAGTACCGTATACAGATATTTAGTTTAAACTATGATTTCTTGTTGGTAACCAATAAACTTTCTTACTGGTTAAACAATTTAAATATAAGAGAAATCTACTGTTAAATGAATATAATTAAATACTTTTTTTGTAGCAGTATTAGTAGTAGTAGTAATAGTGGTGTGGTGTGGGTTACTTATATCCATATAAGTAGTATATAATGATGGTCAGGAATAGAATGTATTTCAGTAGAAGATCGAGAAGGAAGCGACAGGAACGGAAAGCAATTGGTATGAAAACGTATGAACAATGAAATCTGAGACAATGGATAGATGTTTACAACAGGAACAGTCAAGTTTTTTTATGATTGAATAATATTTTGCAAATTAACTATTTAATATGTGGTTCTCAGATTTTATTGAGACATTCTGTTATTTTGTGCCATATACACTCGATTGTCCCCACTTGCGTTCTTGTTCACTAAAGTAGTAGTTAGTCTTAAGCTGAATTTAATTATCAACATTAAGATAATGGTAATTAGCTAGTTCATTGATATTTGAAGTTGAGTAGTGTTGTTTCGTTTTCATTTCAATTGGAAGCATAAATGAATTAGAATGTAATGGAAAGACAATTGTTATTTTAGTAAATTTTGAAAATATTTTGAGTAGTACTTATTAATGAAACATTTTGAGAGCTATGAGAGAAAGGTTTACATAATGTTCAATGTAAAATATGCATTTAAAATGTAACAAAATTATTTAAATGAAATGTGTTCGCTCTTCTATCGCACACGCAACAACAAATGCAGAAGAAGACGACCAGTGTAGCAACAGCCTCAGCAGCAGTAGGTCTCAAAATACCCAAAGGGAAAAGCGAAATTCTCCGTTACAACACAGCACGTACCAATCGAATCACACTTGATGGAGAAAATTTGGAAGATGTAAAAACCTTTACATATTTGGGCAGCATCATTGATGAACACAGTGGATTTGATGCAGGTGTGAAGGCGTGGACCGGTAAAGTAAGAGCAGCATAGTTACAACATAAAAACATCTGGAACTCAAACCAACTGTCAATCAACACCAAAGTCAGAATTTTCAGTACAAATGTCAAGATAGTTCTACTGTATGAGGCGGAAACTTGGAGAACTACTAAAGCCATCATCCAGAAGATACAGGTGTTTATTGACAGATATCTACGTAAAATACTTCGGATCCGTTGGCCGGACACTATTAGTAACAACCTATTGTGGGAGAGAACAAACCAGATTGCAGTGTAGGAAGAAATCGGGAAGAAGGGCTGTACGTGGGTAAGACACATATCGAGGAAAGCACCCAAGTGTATCACAAGACAAGACCTGACTTGAAATCCTCAAGGCTGAAGGAGGAGAGGAAGACCAAAGAACACATTCAGTTGAGAAATGGAGACAGACATGATAAGGATGAACGAGAATTGGATAGAACTAGAAAGGAAGGCGGTGGACAGAGCGTGTTGGAGACTGGTAGTCGGCGGCCTATGCTCGATTGGGAGTAACAGCCGTAAGCATGTAAGTAATGTTGTTAATGCACAATAAAGTTATAGCATTTAATAGAACTGAGCAAAATCTATGGATTATTTTTATTACTGTTACAAGTTTTCAATTGTGTTCTAACAGTGATCGGTTCATGATCTTAATAAAAAAACTCAACAACCTGCTCAAGTCTTTACTAATAATTACTACTGTCTGAAGCTATATCTTCAACTTAAAGGTGGTAGATCGTAGCTTCGTTGATTAGGTAAATGTAATTTTGCTACATATGATAGTTTGTTAGTAACAATGGAACAAATATCGTAAATTTTAGAATTTTCATAGTTTATATCATAAAGTGATCTAACTAAACCATCACTGAAAAACTGCAAACAATGATCTTCAGTTTCGTCCCGGGATCAGACTCCTTATCACAGGGACTCTAATCTAAGATTTTTGATGTCACACTACAACAATTAACCTGTAAACTACTGGGCCGCTTTCCAGTGGTGGTAATGTCTAGGTCCAATCAATCCGGGGTATTGAGCAACCATTTCCATTGTTTGTGATGGATAACTGGTTCATATCTTACGCGGTTGCTCACAGGAGCCCCAGGAATTCTATCTTGAAGTCAATCATTAGCTACTACATGGTTGGTAGTAATATAAGGAAGTTTATAGAGATTGTAATCCGCTTTTGATTGGGTCATGGAGTCCAGTAATAGAATGAAACATTTGTCCAGTGCTTCGTGGTTAGCAGTGGAAGTCAAGCAAAGATCATTTTGTGATTTAAACTTTTCTGTATTGATAAAGAGGAATTGTTCAAATGCGAATAGTATTTTTTTTTTTGCGATTCAATTGCATCTAATTGATTATATTCAAATAACGTAATGCATAGTTTTTAATCCGTTCAGAGCAGTGACCAGTGGTGTTCGACCGAGTCTGTGATGAAATATTAACTCGCTGAAGACAATGGTGGGTGTGTCGCTGAATTTCGTGGATTGGTTGAAGTTAGAAATTAACACTATTGGATGCCGGCTCAGTAGTTTAGAGGTTACTCGTTCTCGCGCGAGACCGATAGGTCCTGAGTTCGAACCTGGCGAAACGGAATCGTGGACACGCACTACCGAGGAGTCTCACACTAGGTGAGACGGTCATCCAGTGCTTCAAGGTTTTCCATGGTGGTCTAGGTTAAATGGACTCATGAACTCAACTATTAAAATGATTAAATTAATTTGTTTGAGAAATTTTTAACAATGAGTAGTATATTTTAACAGTAGTATTCAATCGTTCATTGATACGAGTTTCACATTTATTTCCTAAATGAAACTTTGCACATTTATATTGATCAAATCGCATCAGTTTAATCGACTTTATTGT